AGGACGAGGGTAGGATTAGGATCACTGGATTTGAGTTGCTGACAATCTTCATTTGGTTTAAAGGCCTTTCCCCTTTCTAGATAATGTTGTGAAGTAGACACTGTGAAAGTATCACTTCCTGACAACCTACCCACTTGGAATTCCTTTCTCTGTGTTTCTGACACTGGATTACTCACATCCACCCTCACGGCAGATTTTTGTCCCTCTCCACCAACATCCTGCATTTCATTAGACTTAGGGTCAGCTCCCTCGACGGGGGGAGCTTGCGCAGCTTTAGGATCAATGTCTTCACCATTTCTAGTCTTCCTACGACCTACAACTTCGATCTCTTCCTCTATAAATAGTAACTCTGTACTAGTATCTAGTCATGGATGAATTGACTAAACATATTCAAGAGGTCCTGTGGTGCTTGTTGTTTGCTGATGACAGTATTACTTGATGAAATTAAAAAAGGATTAATGGCAAAATCACGAGCGGTGTTCTGGTTGATATGGCAGGAAAGAAACTCAAGACCCTCAAATTAGATTAAGAAATGTAGCATTGTTAGGAAATGGTTGTGGAGATTTCCCCTAGAGCAGGACAGTTTGTGGCACTTGGTGGTATAAAGTATTCACGAGATGGCAGCTAATGGATGGGATGATCGTGTCGGCCCTAGGGCTTCTCATTTCTCCCCTTGGAAAGCCATTGCTGGAGTCTTGCCCCTTTCAGCCTTTCATCAGATTTGATCTGTGCTAAGGTAACAAAATTCTGTTTTGGGAGGATCGTTGGGTTGGGAACACCCCCCCCCCCTTAAGGATAGGTTCTTGGTAATGTATTCTCTTTCCCTAAATAAATTCAAAGACATTTCGTCACTCCGTGTGTCTGAGGGGACATGGGACTTGGGTTTGAGAAGAGGGTTAATGGATTCAGAATTGGCTTGCATAGATGAATTGTTCACTTCGTCGAGTTCAGTTTTCCTAGATTCTTCTTGCTTAGACAGCAGAATCTGGATAGAATTTTCCTCAGGGTTATTCTCTTGATCCTCTTTTTTCATTGGCCTAATTCAGGATCCTGTTGTGCCTTATTCTTTTCCTACTAAAGAAGTGTGGTGTACTCTTGTTCTACCGAAGGTTAGGGCTTTTTGTTGGGAAGTGGCTTTCCAAAAGATCAACACTATGGATGTACTTCAAAGAAAAAGGCCAGATGGGTGAGCAGAATGCTGAGAGATGGACTTGAAGACCCTTCCTCCAAAGATTATGGCATTTAGTTGGGAAGTATTCTATGGGAAAGTAAACACTCTAGATAACCTACAAAAGAGAAGACCCTTCCTCTGTATTTCTCCCAATTGGTGTATCCTTTGTAGAGCTCACGGGGAGGATTGTTACCATATACTAATATCTTGTCATTTTTCTGCAGACCTTTGGGCTTGGCTACTTTCGTTGTTTGGGAGTAGTTGGAGTATGCCAGCAGAAGTTCACATGATCTTTAACCATTCTACTTTCTCTTGGCCTACAAAAAGAGGGAGAATTATGTGGAGATGTGCTCACGCTGCCTTGATTTGGACTCTTTGGGAAGAAAGGAATGCTAGAATCTTTCAAGAAATGGAAAGGAACAGTCAGGAATTGAAAGACTATGTGCTGCATAGGGCAATACTTTGGTTGAAAACTTTGGAAATCTTTCATCAATTCTCCTTTAATGACCATTGGAGAAACTGGTCAGCAGTAGCAAGGTGTTCACCCTTAAAGGATAAGTCAATTACAAGCTGGTCTCCTCCATCTGAAGGCTCACTAAAGCTGAACTTTGATGGAAGTAGCATTGGTAATCCAGGCTTATCCGGAATGGGGGTGTTTTGAGAAATGAGAAGGAAGAGATTTTGTTGCTCTACTCGGGTCCCCTAGGAGTTGGGGACTCCATCTAGGTAGAGCTATTAGCTGCTATACAAGGGATGCAACTTGCAAACCAGCTGGGGGTACAACATCTAGTAATTGAAGGAGATACCAAAGTGGTGGTGGGCTGGTGGAAAAATCCTGAAGATGCTATATGGCACTACAAGAATGAAATGAAGAAATTCAGTTGGTTGACAAGGAATATGATGGTCTCTTTATAGTGGGTGGGGAGATCAACAAATATTTTGTCCGATGTTTTAGATAAGCAAGGGGTAAATTGGGAAGAATTGTTTTGGACTCGGCTGTGATTCCTATTTTTCTTTCCTAGTTTTACTTATAAGATTCAAGGAGGGGCTGCAGCTCGCGCCTCTCCTTGGGATGTTGTATGAATTCACAACTCTAAATCAGTTTTTGAACTAATAAAATTTACTATTATTCATAAAAGAAAAGAAAAAGGCCAGATTGATGCCTTTCCCCACAAGTCTATTGCTTTTGCTTAAGAAATGGTGAGACGACGGCTCATCTTTTGATTTCTTGTCCTTTTGCTTCTTACTTGTGGGAGTGGTCCTCTTTTTGGGTGCAGGTGGAATCATCATTCTCTAGCTTCTTCCAACAACCAAAGAAAAGGGGCAGGGTAATGTGAAGAATACCAAAAGCAGCCGTCCTTTGGTCAATTTGGGAAGAGAGAAACAATAGGATTTTCCAAGGGCAAGAAAAATCCAAGGAAACACTTGTTGAGGGTATTACCATCAAGATTATACATTGGTTGAAAGCGCAACAACTTTGATGGAAGCACCTTAGGTAATCTAAGCCCATCAGGAGTTGGGGGTGTTATCAGAAATGAGAAAGGAAGAGATCTGGCCCTTTACTCAGGCCTGATTGGGGTGGGAGACTCCTTAAGGGCAGAAGTCTTGGCTTTACTCCAAGGCCTGAGATTGGTGAAACAATGGGGAATAAAACACTTAGAAGTGGGAGGAGACTCCAAGCTGGTAATAGGGTGGATGCAATCTAGAAACCTGGGAGTGTGGCATCTTAGACAGCCTCTAAGAGAGATTATAAACTTAGAAAGGGAGCTTGGGGTGCAATTTAAGTGGGTAAGAAGGTCAGCAAATGGAATGGCTGATGCTTTAGCTAAGCAAGGAGTAAATAGGGAGGCTTTGTTTTGGGTTTGTTTGTAAGGATTTTATTTTGGGTTTCTCCACCCATCTTATGGGTGGTGTTGTTTGTAATCTTTATTTAAATTCATCAATGAAAGTTACCCTTTCCTATCAAAAAAAAAAAAACTCAAGGCTATTCCAAAGCAAGGGTTGTCAAGTGGAGGAGGTGTCGCAGAAAATAGTGGGGAAGCTGTTACCCTGGTCATCAGCCCAGCTCTCTGTAGATAGATCAAACCTTAGTTCTCTTTTTGAGGCTAAAACCTTTTTGTAAACTCAAATTGGATAGTGGTTCAATTCTGTTTGTACTCCCTGGATGTACAGCTTCTGGTTGTACAAAGGTTTTTATTATTTTGAATTAATGAAATGATAGAAAGAGAAAAAAGAAAAAAACTGGCTTATGGTCAAATACCTTGGAAAAAGAGATTTTAAAATGAGGACTAAAACAAAAATATATGCAATCCAAATTTAATAATAATGGGAGTGCAAATCAGGTTACACTTAGAAGTTAGGATTGGAGACCGGGAGACAATTAAATGTAACCTCCTCTGTAACCTTGGTTTAGTAATCCATAACAAGGGAGAGGTTGAGATGTCATGCATATAATCAGAATAAGATGTGCAAAATGGAGGTGTGCATCTGGAGTCTTATCTGATAGGCAAATACCACTTAGGCTAAAAAAAAAATTCTATGCAAACAGTTGTACAGCTAGCAATATTGCATGGAACAAAGTATTGGATAGTTGGTAAACATGTTCAAAATCTGTGTGGAAAAAATGTCAATGTTGAGATGGATGAGTGGAAAAACTAGAAAGGACAAGTCAGAAATGAAATCACTAGAAAGAACCTAAGACTAGCTCCAACAAAATGTGAGAGTATACTAAAGTGCAGTGAGACCATCTACAGCACCTGTAAGAAGAATGATCTGTTACAAGTTGAAGGAGCTAAAGTGTGGGAGCAGAGTGATCTGCTTCCAACGAACATGTTTCCAACTTGGTCTATGGCCACACATCTCAAACGGGATTTCCATCTCAGAAGTATGATCCCATTGATGTGTACAAAACATGTTTGAGATGTGTGGATATAGGTCAAGTTTGAAGTGTATTGGAAGCATGTTTGTTGGTAGCAGATCCAGACTCAAAGGACATGCCTTGAAGTAGTAAGAAATGATTTTTAAGTGCTCATAATTTGACAATTGATATGGCACCAAACAGAATGGAATGACAAGACAGTATTCATGTAGCCAACTCAATATAGTTGGCACAATGCTTAGAAGATGATGATACTCCAATGCTTATTTTGTGCTCTGATCAAATATTTTTATTCATTGAAGCCCGTGGCCAGAAGAACAGAAAATAAGGTACCTCGGATGTACAAGCCCTTAGACAGGTGCCATGAACTAGGATGCAACCTGAATTTCTCATTCAGGAGGGATTCCTAGGACTCGATGTCTTGGCTGATGCAGGCAAGGGTAACAAGGGAAAGGTCGGAGTAGGAATAGCTAGGCTAGGGTTGAATCTCTAAAGTTCTTTCTACCGTTGTTTGATTTTGTCAAGGATAGACTTGTATTAGACAGTACTTAATCTAGTGATTTTTAAATTGATACAATCGTTTCTGTTATCTGTAGGAAGAAAAAAACAAAACAAACTTACTTGAGTATATTTTAATATTTCATTATAGGGGTCATACATAGATCTCAGTGATATTAGAGAGTGACCACTCGTGAGTTTATTTTTACTTTTGAATCAAGGACGCAAGTGTCATTCCAAGAATTCCACTGACAGCGTGTTTTGGTTGAACATCAGCATGGGAAAAATTTTCGGGGCTTGATACAAGGGTAGTTAAGTCATACATGTCCATCAGTGGGGTGATCTGAAGGATGCTTGTGTCCATAATCCAAGGAGTGAAAATTTCATAGTTGGTGGTAATGGTGGTAGCGAGTAGCAACTAACCAGTCCATGTTTCTCATTTTTTCTCTGTAGATTCAAAAGAAAAAGATATGGGAATTGGTGCAACCTCATCTCAAGACTGATGATTCTTGTGTAGCTGCCATTGGGATACATCCCATGCGGACGTCTGCAGGTATGGTGGTGAGCAGATCTCTGAAAAATGCCAATATTAGCTGATTAAGCCGGGCATGTCTTGGTACTTTGAATGCAATGGAGTGGTCTTACTTGCTCATGAGATTGATGCAAAGACCATCCACTTGGGATGCCAGATGGTTATTTTCTGCACTACTTTGTTTAAGAGAAAAAAAAGAAAATGAGTAATCCATTACAGTTTTTACGAGATTGGAGAGGTGAGGTTCCGTCTATGTTAATTATCTTTATTCATTGACATTCTCTATGCACTCTTACGTTTGATCTGCTGCTGCCCAGAAATCATTCAAACAGCCATGCAGCTTGGCAATCTAAGATCTCCCTTTCGTTATTTTTGGGTTCTTTTTGTAATCTAGTATCAACGTCATTTGTTATACTAAAACCCATATGGGCTCAAGTACCAGGATGTGTTTGCCTGGACCTCCCAAAAGTCCAAGACCATGACAGAATTACAAGGTTGATCCATGTACCAATTCTGATGACTATGAATTCTGCGATGTGAACCCTGTAAACTATAGTTGCATGCATGGACTGTCGGATTGCAAATTTGCAACATACTGTAGACGTGACACAGTGGACTATGGCAAGAATGGTTCATTCAACTTGTTGAACTTGAAGTTATGAAATTTGTGGAATTTAGTTATTTGACCATGACCATAGAGAAAGAGAGAGAGAGAGATCCACAAGACTACATCTAAAAAAAAGAAACACAAGTGCTAGTCATGTGATGGGCTTTCTTTTGCACTTCTTTTCACTAGAATTGGCCTATTTATCTTCTCTTTTATTATGTTTGGATTTGGATGTACATTCAGGGTTGGTCTACTTGGATTTGCAGTTGTTTTTGTATAATATGTTCTACGCCAATCCCTAGCGGCAAGGTTCAAAAATTCGTTATGTATCGGGGGTCTACTTGGTTTTGACTGGTTCAGGGGGTGGAACCTTAAACACCCC